AGTACTTTTCAAATTTCTTCACCAACACCATGATTTAAATGCATCAATTTTTCTACAGTCTTGCTTGTTCATTGTCTAACTTTTACATGTATATGAGGTCACTGAAAACGCCATGGCTTGGGTCTAGGTATTTTATGTAGGGTTGCTATGAGTTAGCAGTTGCTTTAATTCTGGGTTTTTCTGTGTGATCTCAGGCCTTCCTGGGTTTTCTCATCCAATGATAAGATCATTTTTGCCCTGCCTACCTTAACAAAAGTGTTTAAAAATCAAATGTGCTACGAAATTATTTTGAAAACCAAGAAGAGTGGACGGTGCAAAACACAAGGTGTTGTAACGAATCTGCACATCTCTCTCCTCTTTCCAATGGCCCACATGATTATTCTGGCCACCTTAGAGCTACAATGTCCAAAGGTAAAAGAACCAAGTCTATCTGGGGTCACAAGGGAGAGAAAGGTAGTTTCACACACTAACACTTTCCCTCTGGCTCTAAAGAATGCCTAACATGCAACATCAACAACTATGGTCTGGAAAAGTACATTCTAAGGGGGACATGAAGGTCCCTGTGGTCTTTCTTATGTTCATCCAGGAAACCATTTACTGACTGGATTTCCCCTAGAGCCCGTCTACCTTTTGAGAAGTTCATTTTCCCCACATTGAAAAATATGTAATTCTTCTTTGGAGCTTTTCAAAGTTATTTGTTCTTAAAGATGGATATTCCTTTCAAACATAGGTAACTAAAGAGTAGATGATTTTCTTGGTATACTGAGTTTCTGTGGGGCCACTTCCCAACATTCTACCTTTCACAAATACTGGTAAGGGAGGCTTTTGGATTAGAATATCCAGTCCTCGGCTGTTCAACAGGTTCCATCTCTGAGGCTTCTCAGCTTCACCATCTCCTTAGGAAACGTCCACAGGCCCCATCATCTTTGATGTCAAAGGTCCCATGGTCAGCTCTTTTGCATGATAGCAACAGGCTGAGCCCACATCAGGGCCTGCATGCTGTGGTCAGAGGGTGGAGAGAAAAGGCGAGCTGGAAACCAGTGGGAGGAGAGAGAAAGGCAATTCGGGTCCCCATCTGGCAGGCCAGTTCTCAAAGCTAACCACAGCAGAGCTTCCGGGGCATCGTCACAATAGAGTCACCACACAGCCCACGGAAGAAGTGCTGAGAACCCCAGAAACGTGGTTCTCCCATAAAACCATGTCCAAAGATGCCCCAGGACATCAAAATGATGCCTTTTAGTCTAACTCTTCAGGCATTTCTCAAAAATTCTATAGGTTCATTCCCTGTGACAACAGCAGTCCTGCTTAACCCCAAACCCAGTTAATTCCCTTATTCCCAAAGGAGAGTCTGCCACACACTTGGTTCACAAGCTCCCACCTGGCCCACCCCTAACATTCTGAGGCTCGGCTTAGAGGTCCTGCCCACTTACTCTGTGCTCTGGTAGACTCCCACTGAGATGTTGAGTCCCTCCAATTCTTCCTTGAGCACCTGCAGGTCTGAGTTCACAAAGCTCAGCTCCAGGCGTACCTGCTCCCGCACCTTGTGGTTCGTGGCTGCTCTGTTAAAAGATGGGGGAGAAAAGTGCCCTCAGCCAAGACTCACAGCTGCCAGGTTAGCAAATGTCCTCGATGCCAGATGTGATCAGGTAAGGTGTCTCCAAGACGCTGGCCATCTGCCCCATCCTGGCTCATCGACACCAAGCTGTCAGACATGAACCTTAAAACTATTCTATAAAGAACTAGCTTTGAAAAGAAGAAAGAGGGTTGCTCCTGGTCACTCCTAAAGGACCCCAAATTATCCCCTTAATAGGAAGTGGATGGGAATAGAGAGAAGGAAGACTTCCTAACTCATTCTATAAGCCAAAACCAGAGAAAATGAGATAACAGACCAGTAGAATAAGCCTTGGACTGCGAACCACAAGGTTGGCAGTTCTGGCCCACCAGCCACTCCAAGAGAGAAAGATGAGGTTTTCTGTTTCCACAAAGATTACAGCATTGGAAACCCCAGACAGGATCACTGTGAGTCAGAACTGACTCCATGGCACTTAACAACAACAAATCCCTCATGAATGTATACATAAAAACCCTCAACAAAATATTAGCAACCTGAACCTAGCAAAATTAAAAAAAAAAAACATTATATGCTATGACCAAGTAGGATTTATTCCAGGAATAACGTTATACACCATAGTAATAGCACACACACACACACACACACACACACACACACACGATGATCTCCATAAACTCAGGAATAAGCATTTGACAAAATCCAAACACATTCATTTAAAACAACAAAAACCTCACAGATAATTAGAACTAAAATCTGATAAAGGAACCTAATAGAGAATGATTGACAACCTTCCTCTTACAAACAGAAACCAGGCAAGGATGCTTTTATCACTTTAACACTATGAAGTCCTGGTGTGGTGCTGTTGAATCAACACTGGATTGCAAGGTTGGGGATTCAAACCTACCAGCTGCTCCTTGGAAACTCAATGCAGGGTTGCTATGAGTCAGAACTGACTCAAAGGCACCTAACAACTACAACAACAATCAACACTAAACTGGAGGTTCAGCCCAGTGCCGATTAAGCAGACAGTGAACTTAAAGACAGGCAGATGAGAAAGGAAGAAGTAAGACTGTCTAAATCTATAGATGACATGATCCCATATGTAGAAAAA